TTGGGCCGTCTTGGGGTGTCGTGAAGCCGAAAAGGTGGAAACGCCAAAATCTTTCCAAAACCTAACGAAAAGCAGTGAATTTTGCCTCTTCGGGTCCTCTCGGGAGTGCTCTTGGAGGCCTCTTGGGGCGTCTGGGGGCGGGCGGGGTCTCCGGGGCCGCGGGTTGAACAAGTCAGGTGCTTCGGATGCAACTCCTGGGAGGTCAAATTCTGATTTGGCCCTGGTCCGAAGTCCGGGCTAATCCCGCTTAATCCGGCTCATTCCCGCTTAATCCCGCTTAATCCCGTTTAATCCGGCTCAATCCGAGGCCCGCTCCGGCGTAACAGCCCCCAAATGGGGTTTAATCCCCTGTAGTCCTTCCGACGAAAACCTCCCAGTGGTTGCCTCCTAAAGGTCCGCGGGTGTCAGGGAAGGGGGGCTGGATAGCCCATGGGGCGGGCATTGGTAAATCTATTGGCCTGGGAGCCTCGTCGAGGACATAGGCGGTCGGAGCTGAATGCACGTAATGCTCCCCCTGGGCTATCCGCTCCTCCTGGTGGATACCGCGGACGACCTGTGTGCACCGTTCCTCGTTCGCGTGTCCCAAGGCGTCGTCGATCCTTGGCCCAGGGGCGGCGATCGGTGGTCCCAAGATGGGGTCCTGAGGGATGTGGGGCCCTGAGGACGAGGCGCCTCAAACAACGAGAATGCAGCCTTGGACTCCTTCCTACCCTGCACTGCAAGGTCCCCCGTTCCTCAGGGCCCCACCTCTGAACCACCGAGGTGGTTGCGGCGCAGAGTCCTGCGGCCCTCGGGGCCGGAGGAAGCACGGCGCGTGCAGCCGCGCTCGCGGTGGAGCGGGGCCCGGAGGGAGGGTCGAGGCGTGGTGCGGCGCATGTCGGGAGCGGAAAAGAGGGGGGTGATGACTAGGGGGGGTGGATCTCATGGCGGGGGGCCACGACATTTCCCCAGATTTCATGGCGCCTCTTCTTATTTCATTACGTCCCTGGCCCCCCCGCTGGGCCGCGCACATGCCGCCGGCCATGATTTGCAGCAAACAACGAGAATGCAGCCTTGGACTCCTTCCTACCCTGCACTGCAAGGTCCCCCGTTCCTCAGGGCCCCACCTCTGAACCACCGAGGTGGTTGCGGCGCAGAGTCCTGCGGCCCTCGGGGCCGGAGGAAGCACGGCGCGTGCAGCCGCGCTCGCGGTGGAGCGGGGCCCGGAGGGAGGGTCGAGGCGTGGTGCGGCGCATGTCGGGAGCGGAAAAGAGGGGGGTGATGACTAGGGGGGGTGGATCTCATGGCGGGGGGCCACGACATTTCCCCAGATTTCATGGCGCCTCTTCTTATTTCATTACGTCCCTGGCCCCCCCGCTGGGCCGCGCACATGCCGCCGGCCATGATTTGCAGCCCCCCTCTCTTGGACACCCCCCTCTTGGCCGCTCCCGAGCATGGGCGGCGCTCCTCGTGGGCACACGCGGAGTCTGGCAGAAGCGCGGAGCCCGATTCGAAGCGCAGGCGCAGGATCGGACAGAAGCCACTGCGAGAACGTGGAACGCCACACAGCAAAATCTCGAGCCGAACGTGCACACTCGACACATGAAACTTGGGGGGGGGGGTAGGGGGCGTCGGTCATCAGGAGGCGGCGGGGGCGGAGGAGGCCCTCCTCCGCCCCCTGCCGTCTCCTGATGGCCCCCGCCCCCGCCCACCTCCTCAGGAGGGGGGCGGGGGCGGAGGAGCCCAGGGGGGGCTGCCACGCGCCATCGTCGCGCTCCCTGGCGGTGCCCAGGGGGTGGCAGCATGTCCGGAGGCGCCACGTACCCCAACACAAGCATGTGCCTCTTGCCCCCCATGTTCAGGCACAGAGGGGTCGGCTTGGTGCATAGGCGTGGAGGGGAGGAGGAAGTGACGGAGGAGTCGGAGGAGGAGGAGGAGGAGGAGGAGGAGGAGATGGAGGTGGAGGTGGAGGTGGAGGTTGAGGTGGAGGAGGAGTTTGAGGTGGTGGTGAAGGAGGAGGAGGAGGAGGGGAGGGGGAGCGGGAGGAGGAGCAGGAGGGGGAGGATCGATCGAGCTTTGGGGCCACTTCGGTGCTACAATACATTGACTAGACCTGTGTAGTTATTGTTGACATCCAGCTTGGCCTAGCTGTGGTAACTTTATGTAGGGGGTCGCTGGCGCTACCTGGCGCTCGGGTCCTACCTGCGCCGTCTTTCCCCACGAAATGGTCTACGGGCAGGGTGGCACCCGCACTCACGGATGCCCTCTAGCTTGCTTCCCTTTACTCTTGTCCTGGCAAGCCCCCCTTCCTTCCCCCGCATCGGTCTCTGAGACTGGGTGGTTGGGGAGGGCGGTGCGTCAAACAGTAATTCGGAAAACGCGAGCCCTGGATTTGGAAGATCGGTGGTGCATTCTGCTCGGGTGGGGTCGGGAGTCTACCTTATTGCACCGAATCGTGAAATTTGGCGCGGGCTTCACAAACTCGCGGGGATCGCAATCGGGAGAGAGGGGAGATAGGTCGCATAATTACGCCGTGTTCTTGGGCTGAATCATCTCTGCTGCTGCTGCTGCCGTTGCTGATGGGCGTATTCCTAGGCGGCCGAGCTCTCTCTTCAGGGCTCCTCGTGGGGCCGCTCCCACCCTGCGTACCGCTCCCTCCTTCTTCAGTTGTTTCATTGGGACCGTGTACAGCGGGTGCTGCATGTGGCGGAACTGAGACTGTAATCTGCACGTCTCTTTGGCCTGACCGCCTTCCGTGCGACGACTGCGGAATACTGGAACTGACTCTGCTACTCCTTCTGCCGACTGGGCCATGTTAACCTCTTGCTGCAACAGTTACTTCCCTGCTCCGTCCTCCAGCGCACGCCCCAGGGAGGCGCATACCTGCGTCCATGCCTTCACGTGCGGGCTGCCGAGGGAGCCACAGTCAACCTGCTCGCCCTGCTGCACCCTCTGGTGGAACGCCCGCGCCGCCTGCTTGCAGCTGTCTTGCCCCGA